TGTATGATGATAGAGTTCATGGTCTTAATGATCATCTTCAAAATATTATAGGCTTACAGAAATAGTTTAGTTAATTTCAATCAAGTTTGGAATAATGTAATAATTATTTAACAAATTTCAAAATTATATCATAATTTCAAAAGTAACTGAATCTTAATTCTTATCAAGACGATTATTTTCACATACCAGGAAGTCTTGCTGATAGCCTTACAAATAGGCAAAATGCCACACACATCTAGCAATTGGATTCATTCGCAATTACATGAACTTTTTCTTCGGGAAGATAAAAATTAAATGGCAAAAACTAATACGAAAAGTGCAAGAGATTAAAAGAAAAGTCCGTGATTTATTAATTACCAAATTTTATGTTTTAAAATAAATTGGACAGTACTTACATATAATATTTTATAAAATGTATTAATTTTTATTTACAGTAATTAATTTATTTATTTTTGCAGGTATCTAATTCTGAGAGCAGAGGCTCTTTAGAACATTTCAAAAGTGAAGTAAAGAACAAAAAGTCAACTTGATGTCGTGAAAAAAAACACAAAATCAAAGAATATAGTAGTTAATATCCAAAACAGACGAATAAAATCTATCAAAAATAACAAGGACTAAAAAGTGGTGATAGCTAGATTTGTTAAATTGGATTTTTGGATTGTTTTGTGGACCAAAAAATGTTTTTTTTGTGTTAACAGCGTTAATTTGACTCATAGTGATCGTTTTTTTTCGATTTTTTTATATTCCGAATTTGTTTATCGATTTTTTAGTGTTTGTGTAGTGTTTTAAAAAGGCCTTTATAGTGTTCTAGTGCAGTGATAGTGTCTTGTTTCCGGTTCCTGGTTTCTGGTTCCTGGTTCCTGGTCATCTCTCTTCTGGAAATCACGAGGTGAAACACAGATTTCAGAACAAAATAATATTTCATAATATATTGAAAAATAATAATTTTTTAATCAATTTTTTAGACAACAAATTGGTAATCGGGATGTTCCAGAAGAATCGGTGATTTTAAACAAAGGTCAGTGCATTTTTATTCCTAGGCATGCATTGTAAGGGTACGGTCACACGTCGTATTGTAGATTACGAAAATTAGATTTTTATCGAATCCTATCGATTTTCTACCTAATTTGCGATTTTCATAAATTTTTCTTAATATCGAGTATAATTCTATAATTTTGTCCTATAGATAGATTAAACCGTAAAGTAGGTCACAGTTAGGAAGTTGTCAAATATTTATATTTTTTTTAGTGTGGACAACATTTGTGACCGTGCCCCTTATTAATCAACAATTTTTTTTTCAGCCAATCAAAAATTTTAAAATAAAAGTGAGTGTAGTGTAATTTTAAAATTCGCGTCAATTAATCAATTAATTATTAAACACAAGTGCTAATTAAATCATTTTTGCGTAATTTCGCGTAAACCAAAGTGTGAGTGTGTGTGTGAAGAACTTGGCTTTGTGCAATTTTGCGAAGAAATGCTGACATCCATGCAGCCTGAGGTAAGAGCTAGTAGATGTTTGAGATTTAATTCGTTTTAATTTAATTATAAGTGAAAGTGTTATATAATTTATAAGTAATTTATTATCTTGGTACGAAACCCGAAAAATTAAAACAAAATTTGTACTCATGATTGTATTGTAAAAAACACCTGAAAAATTGATCTGCATATATCCAATGATCAATTTTGATTTTGCCACTGAATGCATTTTTTTTAAACTTTTTTTCCGTATTTTCGAAATCTTAAAACCCTGCTTTTTAGAAATATTACCACCAATATAGGTAAAATGCTTTTTGAATAATTCTAATAAAATGCACCGGTCTTGTAGAAAGTGACCAATTTTCTGCACTTTGTGCTCCTGCCTTTGTCTAAAGCAAATCGTCATTTTTCCCAATCAATAGGAACTGAATGCTTTTAGGAAAAGAAATCATTCAAATCGATTGATTTCAGCTCTCAAAATTGTCGTCGACAAAAATTTGTATCCGCACATACATACGAACATACAAACTACACACACATATATCAATTTTGTCCAACAAAAGATATACCACAAAATATGTAAAGATTTGTAAGGTATGCCAACATATTCAAAACTAATTTTAAAATGTGAATATATGCAGGAATAATATCTTCGTTTTTTTGCGATTTCTCTTACTTTCTATTATATAACTTATTGTATGACTTTTTCACGTCTTATAAAATTCCACAAAAATTATGTTTCTAGGCTAGAATGCCCTCTTGATTAATAGTCAATTAACCATTTAGGTCTGGTATTATTGACTTCATAAAAATGACAAATCTTACAATTTCTGTAATGCGTGACTCAAAATGTTCCCATTTCATTACCAAGAATAATTTTTGAAATAATGAACAAATAAATATTCAGCACATAAAATTGGAATAGTCGAAGATTACGACACTTGAGTCATTGGTATAATATAAATGAATAAAATTCACCTGCAACTCAATACAAACGATAATAAGAGGCGACCTTGTCCATGTTCTATTCCCAGGCCAGTGCTATGGAATCTCGAATCTCACACATTTGACTAATCGCCGAAATAAAATACCCACAACTCCACATAAATTATCATGTAATACACTTAAAAGTATTCCAGTGGTGTCTGATGTATTCTTGGATACCGATTCTGAATGGATTGCATGAGAAATGTCTATCCTTGCTTTGTTCTCAATGATATTGACATTATTGTTCTACTTATAATTAAGTCTATTATTATTTTGATTTTTATTGTTTATATTTTTTCTAGATTGGGATATGTTTGGTTATAATTTTATGCAATCTGTCGCAAATCTAAAACCCAAGATTATTAAAAGTAAATGCCATGTGATAAAGAAATGATAACACGTAATTAATTTGCAATATTAAGTTAACCGTAAATTTAACATCAGAACTAGTTGGTATTGGTATTTTGCCTTGAGGCAAGTTACATGAACTTTGCAATATGTGTAAATAATCGACTTAATAAAAAATTAATTAATTAATGATGATTAAAAGTATTCCGAGTGGATTTATTATACACAATTGAAAGGAACACGTTAACTCGAAGTATTTTCTAAAAGCAAATTTTCAAAAATCAATAATTTTTATAATTGAACCAGTTTCCGTAGGACTTTAAAAGTTTAATATATCCATTAAGATCAAGTACTCTATCGTTATACCAAGTAAATCATCTGATTTTATTTTTAACAAACGTCAAAAAAACTACTAATTTTCTCAAACTTTGATAAATTTTTAAAATTAAATTATTAGTCGAAGGCCGTAATATTTCAGTAAGTTCTGTAAGACCATGATGCATATCGCCAAAAAAAGTTTCAAAAACTGCTCCAAATTTTTTCAACAGTTAATTACAAGAAAATGGCTCGGCTGATTTTCACCAAAAAGCTAATCAGTATCATTTTCAACTAATATCTTCCAAACTGTTTTTGATTTTTTGAAATCGATTCGGAAGTATGAGCTTAAATATGGACGAAAGATTCAACACTTTTTTTCAAGTTACAAAGAAAAGGCTTGGCAGATTGTCGCGCAAAGCTGACAAACGATAGTCCTCATTGAGATACATCAAGTAGCTATATTTCTGAAATTGGTTGAGGCGTTTTTGAGAAAACGTCGATCAAAAGTCTAATTTTGACAAACGCCAAAAAAACGATACTAATTTTTGCAAACTTTGACGAAAGTTTGAAAAATGACTTGTCTAGAGCCGTAATATTTTAGTATGATCTATAAGACCATGGAATCTACCGTCAAAAAATATTTTTAACACTTTAAGTTTTCAAGAAATAAGATTTTTTTGATAGTCTATAAATTTGTACTCTTCAGAATTGTGCAATTGTTCTTCTTTTTTTTAAAAAAAATGCTATAATACTATAACACTATAATGTGTTGCAAGCTCCATCAAAAGTTGGAGCATTTAATCAAGAATGTACAAGGATAAAATACTTGAAAATTTTATATAAAAAAGTGAAGAACTAAGAACCTAAAAATAATATGAGAAACGCTAAGCATTTCACTCACATCCAGTTCAACCTACACAAAATCAAAAACTCAATTTTTTGTTTGTAATGACGTTGAGTTCTGGGACACTCTGTATAAGTATTCTAGAGAAGCGTAAGTTTGATTTTCAGAGAGTTTATAATTAATAAAATAATTTACATGGTGAACAGACATTTTTTTCAATTTTCAAATGAATGTTAATTAAAATATTGCTGATTTGTAGCTTGTTTTTAGTAATTTCTGAAAAAATGGACACTACATATCTTTTAAACGAAGAATATATTTAAAAATAAAAAAGTAAGTATATAATTTTTGAAAAAATGTACGCTTTTATTTCACAAAAAAATAAAATAATTTTTTTATAAATAACTTTTTTCTTTCAAGTTTCACACTTTCTTAATTTTACCGGTTCTAAGAGACGCTTCTGAAAACATCAAACATTTCATAAGATTATATAAATAATTACTCTCAATTTAGTTCTAAATCGTTCTAGAACTAGTTTCATTATTTAAAAACTGACTAATTTTCTTATAAAAAACTAACACATTTAAAAAAAATTAACCAATATCATATTTGACAAAATTAACATTATTGAGTTGTAATTTAATTTATTTAAAAATAAGGATCATCAGTAATTATTCCCTTAAGGGACTTTTAAATAAATTTGTATAAGAGACAGTATTGTCCTTGAAGAATTCTGAAAATACTGTATCAACTAATTATTAATACATCCCTGTTTTATAAGACTGAACGTTTATGAATAACAAATATTATTGATAATTTTTAATCTGTTTTGCAAAGTATTAAATGCATAATTTTGTGATAAGCAGTAAAAAAACACAGTATTGTGATAAAATATTGCATCGGTTTTATGGCTAATTAACAACATTGAAGTTTTATTTTTAATTTTATACAGTCTTTTGAAGAACAGAACTACATGCAACTCCTTGTTTAAAATTTTCGTTTTCCGTGTAATTGAATTGGCATCAAAATGTTTTTAAATAACACTGTGCTATCAATAACTTTATTATTAAGTGCTTTAAGTGCAAAATTAGTGTTTTCTACGTCATGGGATGATTTTTTGAATCAAAGAACAAAATATTTGCGAGAAGAAGCAATGTTATCCGTAGGCTCTATGAGTTTTTTGAATGCTAACGAAAGTGCTGTAAACGATATTTTAATGAACTACAAAACTGAGGAAATTCAAAGAGGTTTCAGGAATATAAGCGAGTTTTTACCATCATCAAATTTTCTTCGGATAAGTCGTGAAATGGAAAACCGTACAATGTTTAAGTTACTTCAACTTTTTCCCAAAGGTGCAGCTTTGCACGGCCACAATTCAGCTATGGTCAGCTCTGAATATTTGGTGAAAAATTTAACATACAGAGAAAATTTGTATGCAAAATTTGATGATGATAATGAAAATATAGTAGAATTAAGATTTTTAAATAGTTCTGATACCACGGATTGGATCAGTGTGGAAACTATACGAAAAAATAAGGGTGATGACTATGATGATTGGATGATCAAACAACTCACTTTGCACGAAGCTCATGCAGGATTAGGTGTAAATGAAATTTGGTCAAGATTTCAAAAATTATTTTCAATCATCAAGCCATTGATTCACTATGCACCTGTCTGGCAAGATCATATCTATCAGATGCTAAAAGAGTTTCATGAAGACAACGTGAGCTATCTCGAGTTCCGTACTTCATTTCCCAAAATTTATTACCTAAACGGCACCACCTTAAATGCAACAGAAGTCTGTGGAAAATTTGTAGAAGTTTTGAATAATTTTAAAAAGGATTATCCAACTTTTTACGGAGCTAAAATCATCTACGCTCGTCATAGGTTGATTAATAATGAAAAGTTTTTGAAGCATATGGAAACAGCAAGACAGCTAAAACAGGCATTTCCTGATGTCATTGCTGGATTTGATTTGGTGGGCCAAGAGGATATGGGTGAACCATTGGAAACGTTTTTGGATGACCTTTTTAAATTGAAAAATGAAATTAACTTCTTCTTTCATGCTGGTGAAACTAAATGGAATGGTCCAACTACAATCAAAAACTTGGTGGATGCTGTACTTCTTGGAACAAAACGAATAGGTCATGGATATGCTATCACAAAACACCCTAAGGTTAATTTTAATAACAAAATAATATTTAATAAGTAAACATGCTTTGATTTATTCTAGTCATATTTCCATTACCTTTATTGCACAGGTAGCCACCATGGTGAAAAAGTACAAAATAGGCATAGAAGTATGTCCAATTTCAAACCAAGTTTTGGGTTTAGTTGGAGATTTAAGAAACCATCCTTTATCCTCATTGCTTATGGATAATTATCCTGTCGTAATAAGTTCTGATGATCCTGGATATTGGGGAGCCAAAGGAGTCACTTACGATTGGTACAATTCTGATAGAAAAATATTTATAGTTAATAATTACATTTAATGGTCATATATTTTTAGGTATGAAACATTTATAGGAATAGCAGCTTTCAATCAGGATGTACATTTATTGAGAAAATTAGCATTGAACTCAATAGAACAATCATCTTTGACTGATGATGAAAAACAAGAATTGAAGGAAGATTGGAAAAAGCGTTGGAATAGTTATATTGAATTGATATTGAAAACTTATCGATCAGATAGCAATGCAATTGAAACTTCTGAAGATGTGATATAATGTGATTCAAATGAATGCAAATAAAAACATAACTTTATTTTGAAGATTTACTTTTTGCCATACAAATATTAAGTACTTCATTCTAATCGACTGGGGTCTTATAAAATAAATACATTTGATTTTACTTACAAAATTTGGATGGTCTTTCTGTATTTGTACACTATTCATGTATAATAATGAATATATATAATAATTATATAACATATGTATAAAAATAAATATTTGAAATTAAATTCAAATATTTTAAACACAACAATATTTAATAAATATTTGTTTTATGTACTTCATATGAAAATATTTACCTTGTTCAATATTATTCTATCTATTTTGAATTGGAGCGTTTCCAAAAATTGGAACAAATAATCCGATTAGAAGAAAAGAAGAAAAGATTATTAACATTGAGAAATGTTGCATTTGTATGAATTACGAGCAAATTAAAAAAAATCACAAAATAGTATGTGTCTGAAACACTTTGACATTTTCTTTGATGCTCTCGAGTTACAAAAAATGGTAAAAATCAGAATTTAGGGATGATAGTAGTACTCTAGTTTATAATGGTAGTCAGTTAAGCTGTGCTTTTAATGCCAATTAATATCATAAGATAGTTAGAAATATTGCACTGAAGCATTCGGAAAAATTTCGTTTAGAAGTTTTTTATAAAAACTTAACAAAAATCCCTATGTACATTAGGGTGGCAGTTAATGTGGATGTTTCTGAATTTCTTTGCTTCCAGGGGCTCAATTGCTTCCAAATTGATAAAAAACAATTCTCTGAAGGTTTTAGCTATTAATATTAACTTTAAGATAGTCCGCACTCCAACCAAAGTTTCTTGGTTCTTCTTCCTAAGTAAATACTTATTTTATGAAATATATCAAATATTTGTTGTGATTTTTTTTATTTATAATCAAAATAAACAAATACAATGTTATTCTCAAAATTTTGGTTTACTTGTAGTTAAGTTATGAACAAAATGAAATTTTGGCCATGTTATTTCTATAGAAACTTTGGTTGAAGTGCGGACTATATTAAAGTTAATATTAAGACCTAAAACTTTCAAAGAATTGGTTTTTATCAATTTGGAAGCAATTGAGCCCTTAACGTACAATTAGGAAAATTTGGTCCATAGTTTAGGAAATAGGTTATTAACTTCCTTTACTGAAAGATACTAACTTTGCGTTTCAGAGGTTTCTGAACATTTTGGCATGCCTTAGAAAAAATGTGTGTGTGATATTTTATAGACATTTTAACAATAAGTATATATTTTGTTTATATTCCTATCGGTTCCGTATCAATGTTTCGATATTTTGTCTCTATGCAGTTAAAGCAGTTTTTAAAAAAAGTTCAGAATATCTAGAATATTTTAAAAAAAGTAAATCTAATTTTCTCAAAGTAAAATTTTTTCAAATATGTTAATCTTCTAAAAAAAAAAATGTTTGGCACGGGAAGTTCTAGCAATTTGCCTTAAGACACGATGCCATGCGCCCCACTAGTTACGTACATAGATTGAAACTAGTCATATAGTTTAACTGTCTAATATCCTATTGTCAATATATATTGACTAATAATTGCTTTGGACGAAGCTGCCTTGGCGGGTATTTGTCTTGACAGGTTCGTTAGGTTTCGTCATTCAGGATGGATGCGTTTCAAACTCAATCACGGTCTTCAAGGTGTTAGTTCAGGTCGGTCGAGAATATCTAACGTCATATAATGGAATGACCTTAGTGCTTTCGTTGAACTCGTGTTTTTGAAAATAAAAGTTGGAATAATAAAATAGGTACTTCACAAGTCATTCATACAGGGTGACCCAGAACTCAACGTGGATTGAAAAAAATTAAAAAAATATTTTTTCCATGCAGTTTGATTAGGATTTTTTTTAAAGAAGGGTTATTTAAAGTCTAATTTAAAAAAAAAATAGTTTAATTAATATCTTGGTAAAATTGCGTCTTTATTACTGTGGTCCTAGAAATATTATCTACGGTTACGGTTTCAAAATGTTAAATTAACCCTCTATGAGCCTGTGTAACTTTTAGGTCACATACCAAATTTTTCGATATATTATCAAATAATTAAAGCTTTTTTAATGAGATGACGAAAAATTTTACAATGTTATCAAGACAATCATGACATCACATTTATGATTTTCGCATCCTTTTTAATCAGAAGTATTTTCCTACATAGAAGTACAAACATTATAGGCTGCTCCCTATTCATAAATATCGAAAAAGTTATTTAAATAGAATTTTCTGTTTTGCATTTGCATATATGTTTTAATTCCAGGAAGGTGATGAAGTGACGGTCTTAATGTTGGCACCTGATCATGCCTATGATTTTAGCCCTTTCAATTTCTAATAACAAAAATAAGATTAATAATACAGAAAAATGTCGCAATTGTATATTCATAAAAAAGCGTCTGTCTGAAACAAAAAAAAAATTGTACAATTTTTTTATATTCTCATTTTTTTAAAAAATAGTAAAAAATAGGTATTTGAGGATAAGGGTAGTTCACGCCAAAAAATTTTGTTTAAAACAGGCTAAATAGGTCTAGTGAAAGTTGAGAAATCGTAGATATGGTTTCGAAAAGGACTATTTCGAGAAAACGCATTTAAAGATCATAAGGGGGCGTACATTAATCACGTGATCAATGTTTTAAAAAAATTTTATACGCCCTCCTTAGTGATACGTGGTGAAATTCAAAATTGTCCCCACCAAACAGCACGTGTATTTCTAGTTACGAGAAATTTTTGTGATTTTTTTGTCAAAACCTCTCTTCCTCTAAAAACATCACGTTTAATGCACCCACCCTAGGAAGGAGACAGATGATTATTGTGTTCAAACAACTATGGGGCCTATTCTGCTGTAAAATAGACCAATGTTATGGCAAGGCTATGTTGCAAACAGTTCTCGTACAAAATCAGTCTGCCAAAAGCTATGTGCAGTTAGGCGCTTTAGATAGAAAACCTAACCCATAAAACGCACAAATGCCAAGAAAACGGTCTTATGATAAGTAGATTCAGATATGGTTTAATAACACACGAGTAAATTAGCATTTTAAGTGTAAAACGCCTGATCACACAGCAAATATATGGCATTTTGACAATATTCAGTACGTGTTTGTATGAGAACTGGATCGTAACATAGCCTTGCTATAACGTTGGTATATTTTGCGGCAGAATCGGATCGAATATATCTCCAAAAATATTTGAATTTTGGAAAACCATCTTGTACACATTTTTGAATAGTAAAACTTTGAAAATGTCAACAAATCGATTTTTCAAATTTTTTTTTATTTTCGACTAGATTTCAGGCACACCAAAAGATCATTCAGATCACTTTGTCAGACATCTACTGGTGAGTCTACACAAGATATAAATTCTTCAGCTTCAGTAAAACACGTTGTCGAAGTTGATGTGACCATCTATCCCGAGCATGGTTACTAATTTGTTTCAACTCGTCCGACGTGTTGATCTCATAAATCACAACATAATCTGATATAAATCTGATCACTTTTTCCAACGGATGAACAACATATTATTCTTTTGTCATCGCACTATCTATCCAGTATCTTTTTCTTAAATCGAGCAAAAGCTACAAAAGTTCAGCGCCTTTTCAGGAATTCGCTCATTCGTCCGCGACTCGCAAACATTAGTCGTATGTAAGAAGGCGTGAATGTCTGCACATTCGGTTTACAGAATTGAGACATACCACTAATAATAGCCTGGCAATTTTTTACTGTCCACTGCGCCGATATTTCATGTGAGCGCGCGTTTCGCTATACTATTCCCAGAGAGCGGCGTTTTAATACGTTTGCCCTCCGAGTTCAAAATATTCATCTCGCATCCGCGGCCAACTCGCAACTGCTAATGCGTCTTCTTCGGACACAGGACAGACTTCTTCGTATATTATAGATGCACCACTCACTAGTCGCTAATCGCCGATAGCTGATCACCGATCACTGATCACTGATTGCTGATTACAAATCAGACATCGCTCATATATGAAAAATGTATCCTTTATTTCAAGAGCTCGAAATAAATATATTTCATATATTGTTAATGATGCAAGTCCTTATATTAGGTACAGTACGGGGTAGGGGCACAGAGATCCAAGTTGACTTAGAGCAATTACATTGAGAAAACCGAACTTACTACACGCAGCAAGTAACACATCAAATAAACAACAATCTCACTAATTCATCTTTCTGGTAATAAGTTTTTGTTTCTATTTGTCAAAAATTTGACAACATGTTCTTTCTATGCAATACACAGGGTAAAATGGTAAAAGGGAAAGGGAAAAGTCAGGGAAGCCTAAAACCCACTGTTCTTTTAACTTCTTGAAGAAAGTTTGTTTTCGTAAAAAAATCTGATTTGCTGACTTTGTTTTCTCGACGTTTCAAATCAATCTACATCGTGTGTGTGTGCCTATGTTTGACCTTTCGTCGACGTTTTCCCAAAAACGGCTAAATTGATTTCATTGCCAAACATTTGAAATCCATCTACAAAGTCTCTAAGAAAAAAGTATATTGTTTTCGCGAAAAAAGTGATTTGCTGAGTTTGTTTCCTCGACGTTTTAAGTCGATCTGAATCGCGCGTGTGTGTGTGAGTAGATCTTTTGTCGACGTGTTTCCAAGAATAGCTAAATTGATTTCAAACATTTGAAATCCATTTTCCAAGTCTTCAAGAAAAATGCAAATTGTTTTCTCGAAAAAAATGTGATTTGCTGAGTTTGTTTTCTCGATGCTTCAAGTCGATCTGAATCGTGAGTATGAGTCGATTTTTGATCTTTCGTCGACGATTTCCCAAAAATGGCTAAATTGATTTCAAACATTTGAAATCCATTCGATATAATTTGATACGGACTAGCCTTCGTCAGTTTTCCACGACGATCAGCCAAGTCGTTTCTTTGTAAACAACAAAACGGTGAAAAATTTTTCCTTCACGTTTAGCTAAAAAATCTGAATCGATTTTAAAAACTCAAAAACTATTTTAAAGATATCGTACGAGAGTCGTGCTGATTAGTCTTGGACAAATATCGTCCGAAATGTTTCTACATAATTAATAAAAAAAATCTGGTAAGACTTTTTTTGTTCGTAGACTTATAATCCTAAAGAACATTAGAATATTACGACAAGTTGTATAAGTTTAAAAATAGATCAACTTTTTGAAAAATATGATCATACTTTCGAAATTGTAAAAAAGTTAGCGAGAGCAGTCCAAGAGCAGTTTTTTTATAAAACTTCTTTTGTTGTGTAAAAAAATGTTACCAATAACTTAAATAATTAAATAATATCTAGGACTAAGTATATGATGAAGTAATGGTGCCTGTATTTTCTTATAGAAGATGCTTTATATTTCACAAAATTATCTATTGAGTTACTTAAAAATATGTTTCGACGTTTTTCATGAGATTTAACATGACGAAAAAGTTCATTCAGAACGAATATTGGTTGAATTATATACATGAATTAAAAGCTACAATTTTAGGGCATATAAACACGTGTTTTTGCACTACAATTAATATAATTACAGTTAATTTAAATGTGTTTGAAAGATATCAATGTGATTGGAAATAACAATGTTCAGATTTAAGAGAAAGCAAAAATTTTATTTTCGAAATAGACAGTTGAAATATTTATCAAAATATCTAAATCTCAATTTCAGATGATTAAATCAAGTTCAACTAGTAGAACGCAATTTATCAAATTAATTATCAATATAAAATTAGTTGTGGTTTGAACAGAATACTTGTAATAATCCTTAAAACATTTTTACTAACAATACCTATTTCGACCTAAATTCTCTACAAATATTGGAAATTCGTAAGTGCGTTAAAACATTAGTGACAAAAATAGACAAAATGTATAGAAAATGAAAGTACCTATAGAAGCATAAAAACATTTAATAATATTAAATCGAAAATAAATTTTTTTATATATCTTTACGTTTCAGAGGTTTCTGAATATTTTGGCATACCATAGAAAAAATGTATGTATGTGTGTGCGGATACAAATTTTTGTCGACGATTTCGGGAACACGGATGAAGCAATTTGAATAATTCAAAAAACATTCGATTCGTATTGATAAGAAGACGTGCTGATTAGTTTTTGGCGGAGGCTCGTCTAGCCGTTCCGAAGATATGGGGCATAAAGTGCCAAAAACGGTACCTCAGTATAAATTTTGTTTACATTCCTATGGGTTCCGTACCAATGTTTATCCGTTAGATAGCGACGCGACGTTTACGCGCTTTATATTTTGTCTCTATGCAGTTACAGCAGTACGATTGCTTTAAAAAAAGTTCAGATCTTCGAAAATATGTCAAAATAAAGAAAACATTTCTTTTTCAAACAAAAAAATTTTAAAAAACATTTTTTTTTCAAAGAAGTAATTTTTTGTCCAATTTATAGTTTCTCAAAAATCTTATTTTTTCGAAGTAATTTTTTTTCAAAAATGTTAATCGTTTTTAAAAAAATAATAATTTTTGGTACGGGAAGTTCCGGCAATTTGCCTTAAGGCACGATGCCTTAATTGCCTTAAGACAGAATTCCTCTTACAGCTAGTTGTCACTAGTGTTATAACGCACTTACGAATTTCCAATTTTTGTAGAGAATTCAGGTCGAAGTAGGTATTAGTAAGTTTATTAATATCACTAAAAATAAATATTCTCAATAAAATCGAAGATACATTTTAGGATATATAACTACACTCCAAAAAACAATTAAGGAATTATAAATTCACTGAATATTTAAAAAAGCTCCTTCTCGGATTCTGATATTTATTGCTTTCTCATATCTATTAATGTATAATAACCATAATTACCAGCTAATATAAACCCACACAGTAAATAGATATGCATTTATAGATATACCTACTATATTTGGCTATATTATTTTTCTTTTGCTGATATGGGTCCCTCATGTCACGAGCATGCCTACTAACCCGAGTCGGCATCTCAGCACCGCAAAGCAAATTTAGTACCTACCTGTTATCACTCTCGTCGAATAAATCTTTCCAGTTTTATCTCAAAATTGTAATCAAATAGAGAAAGTAATTTTATCAAACTTTAATGCGCTATCTTTCCGTAGCTCGTATTTTATTATCAATAAAATGGCAATAAATCCTAGCTTAAAAATTAATTGTTGACTATGCTATGTATCTACCTGTGTGTAGATGGTTATTTTGTGCGAACAGTGGAGTCATTCATAATTAAAATCGGCGAGTGACATCGAACAATTTGAACGTGCACATGCATATACACACATGCACCGTCTTCTATGCATTTTATGCGCGTCGCGTTAATTTACGCATTAATTCCAATCAAAGCGTGCTATCTGTGAGGTAATGGCGAACCGATTT